CATGTAGGCTTAATAATAATTGTTATTTAATCATCTGGCGCCGGGCGTCGCGCTGTCACGCGCGCTGTGTCTGTGATCGCTCGCTACGAAGGCCGTCTGATTGCATCGATATACGAACGCTATATTCTGTGGACGCAAAATAATTGTGGCTATTTGACGCATTAAGGTACTCCGTGATTGTGTCGCATCTGTTACACAACAGCGAGATTTTCGATCGTGGGTCGCTATTTTTCACGTGAGAAGTAGGCAAGTGAGCTGCTGGCGGTTAAACTGTTAAGTGATATCCGCCGCTCATGGACAATTGCAACACCCGTAGGATTTTAGATACGTTGTCACCTTTTAAAAAAAAGTGGGCTCCAATAACCTCACACTCACCAGACGAAACGAAGAAGTATAAAACTTCCACTTCACGTCGGTCTTCTGTGAAGTCGATCCTGAACTGAATTCAGTTGCAGAACAGTATTGAGAGAAAACTTCTCCGAGACTTTGTACACTAAGCCTGCTTTAATATTCCAGTTATGTTCAGTTAAATTGTATGAATAGTATAGAATTATTTGAAATTCCGTTTATAGCCTAAAGCATTTGGATGTTGCCCCGAGAATCCCCAGTTTTGCTGCGGGAACAAAGCCCAAAAACTTATCTGGGTTTTTAAATTTTATAAGTTATGTGTACGACATAACAAATTACGCTTCTTTCTACCTAGCTTGGCTAAAATTTACTTAAACCAAATTAAAACTTTTACTAATTTACTTAAACCAAATTAAAAATGTTTAAAACAGCTCTGATTCGTATTTTCTTACATTTGTCTAGTAGGTGAACATCATAGAGTCGGCTTATGATTATGTTTTATTAAAATTAAGAAACCAAAAACATTATCTACTTAAGAACTCTCTAAGAATTTAAGTTAAATTATGGTTGTAAGGTGTGAGAAATATAGTCGCTAAGTATGAACAAAATGGTCTTGTGAAATAATCGCCTTTCAATAAAAACTTGATAAAGATTAAAAGCATAAGTGTGTTACTGGTTTTAAATATTATTTGAAGGGAAGTCAAAGCAATTATATTTTTTTGCTAAATACATCAACCAGTAAATATCGTTGATTAAATATAACTTCCGCATTCGGTCCTTGTCGGATTGTCAGTTGTGATAAGTGAATGGGGAATATGATAATTTTTTTTATATAAAATCGGAAATTTTCTTATTGAATATTCATCAATTAAAAGAAATTTTTCTTTATCATAAACGACCGATAAACGCTCATTAAACAAAAACATTTGTGATCAATCCTATAACGTACGCAATGCGCGAACAAGCGAACAATATACAATAATAAACCAAACTTTCGTGTCCCGAAGAAGAGCGTATCTCGTGAGGGACATGACCCGATTAGATTAAGAGACATTGTGTGCCACTTGTCATTTATCTGCGTTACAAATTTAGCATTTCGCTCTCTACAACTAGGGAAACCTCTCGTCAATAGGTGGAATCCGGTGATTACCTACTTATGTTGTTTTTAGTAAAATGAGAGTATTTTAGGTATGTACTCGTGTACCAGTCACTCGATAGCTCTAATATTCTAGTTTATTGTGACATCTTTATATATAATTGTTTTGTAGGTGTGTATCTGTACTGAACTCCTCCTAAACGGCTGGACCGATTTTATTAAATTTTTGTGTGTCTTCAGGTCGATTTAAAAATGGTTTAGATTCAATTCGTTTAGTTAAAGTTATTCGAAAAAGTTTGAAATTTTCGAATTTAAGACGTGTGTACAGGACAACGTCTGTACGGTTAGCTAGTTTATTATAATTTCAATAATAGCGCCTCTTGTGAGAGGAGTCTTGAAAAAATAAATTAAGATTGTAGGAATTAATTGTTTTTTTCTGCGTTAAATTTCCTGTATAATTTTCCAATTAAGAAATAAAGAACCATCAATAATAATGTGCCTTTGAAAACTTATCTTTTTGTTCAAATTGCGCATGTATTTTGTATATGGAAAATATCGTGTTCTTTTTATTTTAATTTTATTCTCTATGGAATTATGTAAATAATAAGCTTACGAATATTTTGTGAAAAATGAACTATTAAATAATATAAGAGTACCTACCTAATATAAAAAACTCTTCACAATACATGACATGGCAAATTTGCTTCAGATAGAGTTTAATAATGGTTTTAGAATTTAATAGTGATTGTGCGGAGCTGGTGTCTGTTATATTTTATGTGTCAATGTTACATAACGTTATGTTGCATAACCAAACTATTTCTCTATTCATGTCTTTAAGCAATATTTAAATATATATTTATGGTTATAAAAATCACGAAAATAAGAACTGCCTGCTTAGTAATTATCATCTGATCGGGCATTTACTATTAAAAGGCATGTTTTCACGAGTTCTCCCGTGATTTCAGAGTTCGTGTTATATAACTAGATATTATGTATGTTTGTTACACGCGATAATAGTAACTTGTTCTGGTCGCACGATGTATATCTGCTTTAAAAAGTCAAAGTCAAAATTTCTTTATTCAACATAGTCTTATTTTAAGCTCTTATTGAACGTCAAAAACTACCACCGGTTCACTAAACTAGACCTGCAAGAAACTCTGCGGTCATATATGTATACATTTTTTTCTTTTTTAACTATTTAAGTATACACACAAAATTATTTTAGTATAATTTAGCAGGAGCCAGGGGACTTGCAAGTGCAGAGCAAGAGTCATTTCCACACATCCTTGTCCTCAATGTATTCCTCGACATTATAATAAGCCCTTTCCATTAAGGTGGCTTTTACAAAATGTTTGAAATTATTTACACTTAATTGTTTGTGGATGTCACCCATTCTATTATATAAGTTAATACATCTACCAAGAAAAATATTCTCAATTTTTGGCACCGCTCTTTTTTTTAAATTAATTTATAATCTGCCTACCCATACATTATTTCTTCTTACGGTCTTTCTTGATCTCTGATTAATTAATTTTATTCACTTTTAATTGATTTCATAATAATGAAATATATATGTATATATCACCGTAACTACTTTTACCTCGTACTGATCGGAATATTTAATAACACTAATATGTTTGTACTATTAGGATCGTCGTGATAAATACACTTTCCAACTGCTTCGAGAATAAAGAAAAGTACTTTTTATTAAGTTAGTACGTTACACACGTTACACGTAGTAGTACACTTATCCAGGATTAATTTGGGTACTTTTTTATGTGAGAAGGTGGCAAGTGAGCTGGCGCCTCATGTTATATGGTAACCGCAGCCCATGGAAATTTTCAAATACTTGCCACCTTTTTAATAAAGTGGGCTTCAATTGCCTCACTCACCAGACGTAAAGTAGAAATATAACACTTTACGTGGTGGAGGTCGTGGTTCTTCCCCGGAGGGACATACCCGTTCGTGCGACAGCGAATACTGTTGCGTGGCCCTACCACAGTTAAATTTGTATTCAATAACATTTATAATTGGTATTTTTTGCCACACCGAGCATAACGAGCACATTGACGGACCACGTCTCGATTCAGTAGGTCATCTCTGGCAACGCACATCGATTGAAGCATTCAGTCTTCATACATCCAGGCATATTCGACGATGCAGATTTATATATACAGAAGATATCCGTAGTGGAAAAAAACCAGTGTGTACTTATGTACGCACGTGAGAAGTTATATTTCTTTAGCGTTTAACAAAAGAAAAAAAACTAAACATCGCGCTTTGAAAACTAACATCATCATGTCGCTGTCGGAGTGCGCGGGCATCGTAAAATTTTTATACACATGATCTAAAAATTTAGACTCTTATTCCAAACGCGCCAAAATAAGTATAACTTCAACGTTAAGTATAACATACTCACATAAACATCCATACACAGACATACATAGCTCATAGGATTAGTATAAAAGCTGAAATGGCAAATGCTATTAACAGGTTTAAGAAATTTATTAAAGAAAAACTTTTTAAAAAGGGTTATTATAATATAAATGAATACATTAAGGATATATATATATGATAACCCCTGGGAATGAGATGATCGCTCCTAAGCTGTTTCTAAAAAAGAAAAAATATGTACTGTATAACAATGTATTTGTTGTGAAAAATAAATGACAAAAAAGAGGATACCTACGGAGTTTTCGCCTGTTTCTTTTCCGTTAGAGGAACCTCATTACGAAACGGTGGTAGATTAAAAAAAAATGACTATCGATAAATGAAATGTATGTTTCTTATTTCGATGAGTAAATGATTTGAATTTTAATTTGCCAAGTAGCAGCATCATTGGACTCTTCAGCCAGAAATGATGATGATCATGATAGTTTTGTGTGATGTAACATTGTTATCAATCGAGATAGAGTAAGAGGCAATTATCGTACAATGATATTTCCGTTTAAATATGTGATTCAACGACATACTTGTGTGACCTAAATTATCTATCATACAAGTACGTAACACATTTATCTATTGGTGAAACATTTAGTTGTCTTCCCATATACGTAACAAAGTGACACACAGTAATAATCAAATTTTAATAATATTTCGTCGTCATAACCTAAATAAACAATTGTTATATGATAAAGTAATTGTTGTTTTTCAATATCTACGCATCCGACAGTAGGTACTTGTAACAATATTAAAAATTAATAATTCGTTCATTAAATGTAAAAACCCAACGGCAATGTGGTAAGAGTAAAGCATCATTGTTCTGGTGCTGGTGCTTGATTGGGAATTGCCCGGGCAAGTTGTGCCAGGGACTCGCAGTGGACTGGCGTTAAGGAAAAGTGTTTTTATACCTTATAAAGATGACTCTTTATTACGCCTGCTTGTAAAGGTAGCCAGAGCCCCCTTTTTGAATAAAAGTTGTGTAGCATAGTCGCTACTGGATGTTGTGAATTTCTGCGCGGCTATCTACTATCACGTGAACTACCTGCACCTTTTGCAAAGGTATTAAATCCTTCAAGTGTAGTTTTATAACGATCCGCTTTTCTTCTCATTTCAGCTCTGGTGGGGGCGCTGGCGATGGGGACGACGTTCTTACTGTCGCCTCTTTCGGGTCTCTTGACCGGCTATTTGGGTTTGCGGTCGACTGCAATTCTGGGTGGGACCATCGCTACGCTTGGTCTACTTCTGTCGTCCTTTGTCGTGGACCACGTGGACGCCCTATGTTTCACATATGGCCTCATGTACGGCTTGGGCGCCTCGCTTGCATACACCCCGTCTCTGGCGATCCTCGGCCACTACTTCAAGAAGTACTTGGGCCTCGTTAACGGAATAGTCACTATAGGAAGTTCGATCTTCACAGTGATCATGCCCCCTATATTGGAGTTCATAATTAGGGACTACGGGCTGCATTGGATGTTCAGAGTTCTATCAGCCTTCACCGCGGGCGTCGTGCTTTGCGGTCTACTGTTCAAGCCGATACCACTGATGATAATACAGAAGCCCGCGCGTAAACATGACAACTTCAAATCCCTCATAAAAACGATCGTTAGCGTACAAATCTGGAGGAGGAGAAAGTACAGACTGTGGGCCCTCTGTATGCCGATCGCTTTGTTCGGCTACTTCGTGCCCTATGTCCACATCAAAAAGTATATAGGCGAGAATTTCACGAATGTCAACGACAATCTACCATTACAATGCATAGCGGTCACCTCGGGCGTGGGGAGGTTGACCTTCGGCTACTTGGCTGACAAGCCCGGTGTCAACAGGATCTTGTTGCAGCAGATTTCCTTCTACGTCATCGGGACGTTGACGATTTTCCTGGCCTTCGTGAAACACTTCGGTATGCTGGTGGCAATTTCGCTGGGCATGGGCTTGTTTGACGGCGCGTTCATCGCTCTTATTGGTCCCATAGCCTTCGAGCTATGCGGCGCGGCGCATGCAGCTCAAGCGATAGGCTGCATGCTCGGACTAGCCGCGACCCCCTTGTCTCTGGGCCCCCCCATAGCCGGCTACATCCGCCGCGTGTACAACTCATACAAGTTGCCATTCGTACTCGCCGGTATCTCCCCACTGATCGGTGCCACCGTGATGTTCAGCATTCACTACCAGGGGCGGGACTCGAACCGACCGGAGCCAGAGCCGGAAGCAAATAGTCATTCCTACCCAAGACCGCACGGACACGGTGAGTAATTTTGGATTATTTACTAAGTCGTGCATGATGAATAAATAGATGTCGTTTCCCCGTGTATCATCATTATCGTACTTGCGACTCCAAAAAATGCTAAAATTAGGATTAAACTGTTTAGGATTAGGATTGAACTCAAACAGGAAGCTTTGTAGTTTTTTAAAAAAGCTTTTTTCTTTGTTCGAGTTCGTTTAACGATGTCAACCACGAAATTACGCTTTCAGTCCGGAGATTAATCGTGTTCAGATACGACGGACAACCCGCGAACTACACATTTCGCGTTCACTTGCACTTTGTGCATTTTCTTTTTTTTCCAAATACAATAATTCAAATTATCTATAGTAATTAAAAGTTATTTAATGTCTCTATTGTCTTCCGGACTTGGTTGTCGACACAACGGTTGTGGGTGTTTCAGTTCGAAAAGCTCGCATTCCTTTCTGGACGCGCGCAAAGTATATACAGCGTGTCTTTACCATCGCGACAATAAATGAACAAACATAGAGGATAATTTTTTAAAATTATATTAAACATTTGCATTCTTTAAATATCAATATTTATTGAGCTATAAAATTTTCGTAAACAACGAATTTTAGAACACCCTTACGTATAAAACTGTAACGTAAAGTTCATTTGTAAAGGTCACAAAGCATATGAATGGGTTGAATGAATTTGAAGAGACAAAACATACTGTTAGAAGGAGATGCTTGTAATGTGGCGCTGTGGCAACGAATGAAAAAGTCTCTGTATGTATGAATTAGTCAGATGTAGTTGTATAGGATGTTACAAAATTTGTTTTTTTTTTACTTAGTTTGTTTGAAAAATATTTTTTTTAATTATGGATTTTTTTTAACGTTAATATTTTTTATGATTATTGGCAAGTAGCGTTAGACGTGTGTTAATTTATTGTCGCGGTGGTAAAGACACGCTGTATATTCAGTCCTTGTTTCTAATCTCTAAGGAAAATGTCGGCATATAAATGTTGCTTAATTTAGGTAAAAAAGTAAGAAACTTAGGTTACGTAAAAAAAAGTAAAAAACAAAAATATTAATCGTGTTGCTAACTTTACATGTACGTACTGTATTTATCCTTTCTTTGTTTTAGAAAAACGCCCAACATCGTCGTTCCCAAATAACAACGGCAGCATTAACCAGCAAACGGTTTTATAACAATTGAGGAGTCATCAGCCGAAGTCATCGAACGACTTTGCTGGACTGCTTATTAAAAAGAAGAACTACTCAATCGTTTGTCAAATGATGGAAATTGATATTGTGGCGATTCATGGTGGATGCGATAGCAAAGGACAGGAAGCCATGTTTCTCAAATGCCAAAACAAATCGTGTTTGACAAATCTAAAATTTGATAAACTAATCTAAACTTTTACAGAGTAGTGACCGACTAGAGACTAGTTACATTTGAGGTGTCAAAGATACTGCCTATGCCTATTGCATTTTTTTGTATAGTGTTAAATCGCTATCAGTTACTGTAAACAGTTCCTAATTTCTCTTTATTTAAATGATAATATGTTGTCAAAGAATATTTATTATTTTTACATATGACATTATGGTGCGATTATAACGTGTTTAACCCAATAGAATCTCAAAGAGGCATACAAAATTGATTTTTGTATTATTGTTAAATCGTTAGTTATATATTTGAAAAATGTTATGATAAGTACAGTTAAATAAACATGTGCCAGGATTTACCACGTTAGTACAACTAACAAATCAAGTTTTACAATTAAAATCGATATAAATTATCTTATCAATTGTTAAACGCATTTGAGTCTCATTTCCGTATTTGTGATCCGTAAAATATACGCATTTATCAATATTTCAGTGATGTAGAGCTACTAAACTGAAGATCATACAAATGAAATACTTTAGATATTATAAAAAACTGAATTTTTTTTGGCCACAACACTTTCTCAGCTTCACAATCTCCGTTGTATAAGTTATGAAACATACGTACACTACATTAATATACTGTTGTGTTAGGCACATAAATTCATGGCTATACTTTAAAAAAGTGGTTGTGCTTGTTGAAAATATTGGATATTTGTAAAATGTCAATTATCAAATTTTAATTCTCACTGAATATTTTTATACCTAACGAGTTCAATACCTACATCCATTCTTTTTAATTATTCAGTGCGTGTACATAGTTATAATGACTCAATATGTATGTAAAATTTTAAAGAAGAAGAATGAATCGAGGTGGATTATTAATGAAGCTTCCTTCATGCACCCATACAAAAAGCTGTGATAAAAATGTATGTATTTACAATTTTAAGAACCGGTGGTTTTTGTGCGCGGTAATTTTGCACAAGTGCAATAAAACTAGATTCATAAGAATGACAAGTTACCAGAGTGTTATTTGCAAAATGTTTTAGTAGTCAGCATCCAGAATGTAAGTTCCGCTCATTTTACTGTTTCTGTACCAAAGGTACGTAAAACGTTAATAGTTTAAGAAATCAGAGGGGTTTCAAAGATAGCCGATACTTCGGATAATATCAAATGAATATAGGTACCTATTTTATATTTTCATATTAATATCTTAAAACTTTTCATAGTGATGAGTCATCATAATAATTTGTAAGATTAGTCCTTCCAACCAAACATTTGTATATTAATGTTACTACCTATATAATTATTTCAGCCATATGTTATTGTTATTTGTTTAATATAATGATTTAAAAGATTTCTATAAAAAAAAGTATCATATTGTTTGTAGAAGAAAGAAAGTATCATATTTATTTTTCTAAACACATTAGTGTTAGAAAAATAAATATGATACTTCATAACGTAATTTAATAAATTGTATTGTTTTAACGATAAAAAAAAGGAAAAGACGCCCACGAGTTGCAATTATTAAAATAAAAGAGTTATTGATGTTATTGACATTACATTAAAGCCTTTTATAAATTGAATTTTTATTGTTACCATCACAAATTCCTTTGATTCTTTTGAGATACAATTCGCCACTTAATCGTGCCTTTGGTAACTAGAGAAGAAATGTATTTGTACTAAAGTCGGGCATTAGGGGCACACTGAAATGATCGGGAATAGAATATTTTGGATTGAGTTACAATAAAACCTTTTTTTTAAATTTGAATACTGGCCTCTTAGAATCTTAATGACATTCAAACAAAAAATGTTTAAAAACAAAAACTATGTTGGTTTAAGGTTGACACGTAATAACAGAAATGGCGCTCACACGTGAACATTTCCGAGCCATAATTTATCACAATTTTCGTCGCGGCTTATCTCAAGATGTCTCACCGAACTTGTTTCGTTTTATGATGTTGAAATACCGGGTCAAACGACACATACCGCTGGTATGCCGAGTTCCGACGCGGTTGTGTATCGCTCAGCACTGTTTCTTCTGCAGGTCGACTAAGAAAAGCGGTCACGCCTGAAAACATCGAACCTGAAAGAAAACATCAGTCAGCGGTTTGGGTCTTCGAAGACGAGGTCAAACTAACGATAGTGGTTCGCTCCCGCAGCGTGTCAAATGGTCGCTACGTTTGTCTCGAAGAAGGGGCATGTTGCTACAATTCCTTTACAGGAACGCAGAACGATTACCGTTGAGTGGTATATCACGGTTCGTTTGCCAGAAATGATAGCCGAACTCCAAAAAAATAACCCGAAACGTTCCATCATCTTACATCACGATAATGCGAGCTCCCATACGGCTCAGAAGACAAAATGATTTTTTGAAGCAAGAAAACGTTGAGCTGATGAGCCATCCTCCGTCCGTACAGTCCTGAACTGAGCCCAAACGATTTCTGGTAAATGTAAATAAATAACTCCGGCGTAATTCAAATCAAATAAATTTTAAACGATAGAGAAAAATCACTTGAAATTATCAACAAGCAGAATTCGGCGGTTGCTTCTAGTTTTCGAAAAAATAAATAATGAAATAGTGTGATTTTTACTATAGAAATCCGCCATTTTTTGTTTCAATATGTCAATTCAGCTCGTATTTCTTGGTGGTCATAAAAAAAAAACCTAACATCGAAGGTTAAGGCGGGAGCTCGGCTCCCGCCTGAACCTTCTAACCTAATCTATCCGAGTCGGATTCGCTCTGTGTCGGTTCTGTGATTCATTAAATTAAAAAAAACGGAATATCGATACGTGTATGATGTCTCCCGCTTCCTATATTTATCATGTTGGCAGAACTGTGTATTGAGTTTTTGAAGTCAAACAAATAAAATGGTGGATTTCTTAGTACAAAAAACAAGTTTTAAATATTTTTTTTCTCGAAAACTATAAGCGACCGCCGAATTCTGCTTGTTGATTAATTCATTAGAGATTTATCTCTATCGTTTAAAATTTATTTTAATTGAATTACGCCGGAGTTAAAGTTATTTACATTTACCCGATTTCTTTACATTCCCTAAAATGAAAGATTTATTACGCGGTCAGCGTTTTGAAGACCCCGAAGCAGCTGTGGAAGCTTATAAATCAGCCATTTTGTCAACATCAACTTCATACTGGAATTACTGTTTTAATAATTACAACGGAGAATACTTCGAAAACAATAAAATACAATTTAGCTATACCGTGCATGTGGTTTTTCTTATTCCCGATCATTTCAGTGTGCCCATCGTAAACTAGTTACAAGGTCATGAGCACTTGAGCGTAGCTTATCGCAGACCGTCGATTTCTTCGCCGGTCTGCGATAAGCTACGTTTCCAGGGCGGTTCCCATCGCCCCCAGGAACCGATTAACCAAGCACAGTCAACGGCTATCGGGTTCACGGTCCGCACCGTACCTCGATCACAATAACGCTTGCATGAGCACATGCGCGGCCCTACCCACTGAGCAGGGCCTCAAACCCGTGGGTTCTGGCTAGCCCACCGGTTCTGCGTTCGATGAAGCTTTAGTCTAGGGACTGAAAGCGTAACATCAATTATACAAATACAATACTGAGCTATCACGGCTCTTTTGTAGTATCACGGGAGTCAAACACAAGCTATTTTTTAAGTAACACAAAATAACAGTAATACAAATTCAAGAAGCTAACTTACGTTTTATGCTTAAAGTAAAAAGAAGTGTGTTCGATCTAGTAACATTTATTATTCACTCCAATTATATAAAATAATCGGAGTGAATAATAAATATTCCATTGTTCCTTTATTATTATTTCTATATATGCATAATAGTGCTAATAAACCAGCAAGTACTTACAATTTGAAGTAGAGGTTATCTTTATTTATATATCTTTAGGTCAACTGCATACGTAATGCAAAGTTTATTGCACTATAACTTCTGATAAACTTAATTATAGGGATATTAACAAGAATCTATATATATTTATTAGAATAATAAATAATCTAATTGTTTTTTGTCCTGCAACCGTCCCCCAAACGCTAATTTTAAAATTCTCGTTCAGAAAAGAAATGGGGAGGCCATAGAGCTCTTTTTCATTCGAGGAAAAGAGTTCGAGGTCAAACCCGTTGGGGGTTGCTCCTTGTAGTACAGCTCTGTCCAAAGTGAAGGAAAGTGAAGAATTTGGACATTTATAACTCTGTATAAGGCTGCCTGACAAAGATGTCTTTCTAACCTTTTGAAAAAGTGGGCCCTGGTTCTTCTTACTTCACTCATCAAACGAAATACAAAAATATAATATATATTTACTAATCCATCTATTCTGTGGCCGCGGTACTACCCCGGACGAATCTGCCCATTCAAGCAACTATAGAAACTGCCGCGCTGACAAACCGCAGAAACCAAATGAACGTACAAAGTGTCATAAATATGAATATGTCATTGAAATATGTAGGTATGTATTGATTGTAGTGTTATTTAATTATATTTAGAATATGAATCTCGGACATTTTACTGCAAAATGACTAACAATTATGCGGCTTCATAGTCAACACATTATTTACATTGCGGTTGTTTAGGCATTGCGTTTTTCAAGACTTGTACGCTATATTATATCTAACGAACAAAATCGCTCCTATAACAAAAAGTTTATTTATAATCGAATCAGCGACCCGCCCCGGCTTCGCACGAATGCTGTATGTTTGTTTTCGACATCGCATTAGAACCCTCTAAAATTATCAGTGTTTCTCTACTACATTGTGCATGAATTATACATATAAACATTCCTCTTGAATCACTCTATCTATTAAAGAAAACCCGCTTAAAATCCATTG